TCATATGATACGAAAGCCGAATTCAATAATTGTTTTATTATTCATTCAAAATAATTCCTAGTTTAAAAACATGGCTAAAACATGCTTACCTCCATCGATTCATCAATGTTAAGTTCATCTTCGATAGTGCACGTTTAGGTTTGTCCAGCTCCGCAAATATTCTCCAAATAGCAGATGTCGCCCTTCGAGTTGTCTTCTTGTTGTTCTTGCCATGTTTTTAGCTATTTTTTGTGAATTTTTCGCCTAGCTCTTACTCTTGAAACAAGTGAAATGTCCGCCATTTTTCAAGTTCACAAGCAAAACAACTAGACCTTGTCCCCAGCTCTTCTCGATTAACGGTGCCTTAACCTGCGAAAACGCTGCATTTTTGACGTAATTTCCTTGTTAAACACAAAATTCTTCCAAATTTGGCCATCAGTAACTGGTTATGGTGAATTAAACGTGTACTTTTAGCCAATCAGAATGGGGAAAATATTTTGAATGAATAATAATTATTATTATTCTATTTAATGCATGGTCAAAAAACGAGTTCGTCCGCAGATAACAGCTACTTGGGACAGTGAAAAAAGTAGAAATCATTTTATTGAAATGCATGGTCAAAAGTATGCCTTGATCTGCAGATAACAACTACTTAGTACAGGACAATTCGTTAGGTAGTTACTCTGTATCTGGCACAGCATTTTGGTATCAGTAATCTCATACACTTTGCTAAAATTTCCAACTTATTATAGACAGTACAGCATTGTGTTCCCTTTGGGCAACAAATAGTTAAGTGAGGGCAAGTGAAAACTGAAATTTACTTGCACCTTCCCCCCTCCCCACCCCTTGCAAGTGGATTTAATTATTATTGTTTTTCCTGCCCTGACCTATAAGTGACAACTACAAATCTCCAGGTTGCTTTACTGTTGCTCACCATCATAATTATCAAGAAGGTCCTGGACACTCCTTGCCATCTCAGTCCTCCTCAGTCTTTCCTCTCTCACACACAAGGCCAGGTTCACTGATGTAAGCAACAAAACAATCATCCCTTCAACCAATGGAAGGCTGGAACTGCAACATTATAAAATCAAAGTTCTACAAGACTCCTATAAACTGAATACATATACTTCTGACTGAAATTGAGAAAATAAGAAATTCACTATTGTGATTCAATTAAGTACCCTCCATAAACTGGGTTCCATTATCACGAGGACAGTTTGCCCGTAGAAATACATCTCCTGCAAGCTTTGCTAGTCCTGAGACTAAAGCTTTTAATTTTTGAAAATCATAGAAAAGAAACTGTCTCATCACATTAACTCAACATTTGCATTTCCTCATGATACCGTTCTTTCCTTTTTAAATAAAATTTTGTTAACTCACATGACCAACAAATGATTAAGCAGCCTGTCTCTGACATAATGTGCTCACTTAAGACCATTGTCTACAGCTATAGTGTGCTTGTAAAAGGGACCACAACAACATAAGATTGATTTTAAGACTAAGAAAATTTGTCACATACTTTCTTGTTGAGCCAGCCAGGGCATACGACAAAACCATCACCAAGACCTCAAGAATAAGGAAGCCAAGGCTGATAAAGCTGATTGGCAGGTGATGATTATGACTCAAGGTGTTCCACAAATCTTCCCTCCATGTACAACTGTTAGCCTCCATGTATGTTGATAGTTCATCTTTGATGGCATCAAAAAGTCTCTTCAACGCTTCCTGAGAACTGAGGCCAACTGATTCATCGTCTCTTTTCTAATGTAATGATGAGATCACATAATGTAATGAGATCATGTAACGTAACTTTGCAATACATAAAACACTTTGCAGGTGGCAATTTTTTTCTCTTATGTTGCTTGCTCTACTATCCCTAAGTACATGTAAAAGAGTAGACTAGTTGTAGTCCCATCTCCGTGATGCATCATAAGCTTGTAATCTCACTGAGCTTTTAAACTTGACTTTGAGATTTGAACACAAAACTCTCTCTAATGCTGTAGGTCAAAATGACATTCAGGTTAAAATGGTTTCAAACCAGGTTGATTCTCTAGTTTCTTTGTTTCTTAGCCCTAATTATTCATGATCATTCAAGATCATGGCAAATGGCAAACTTCAGATTCATGTTGACAATTCCTCAAATAAGGAAATAAGCGGATAAAAACAGTTCAAAATAATTATTTTGGATGAAAGTGGTGTGAGACTACATGGAGTAATAAAAAATATTTTTGTGTAGATATAATGAACAGAAAAGGAAAATTTGATCATGTGGTACAAGTTGGTGTTTGCTCTTTGCTGTGAACATCGTTCTGAATTTCTCCATTAAAATTTAAAGTTAACATTTACAAAATAAAAAGAAAATAATGTAAATCAAAATAGCAAAACACTTACTTCCTGTGCTTCACAAAGAATTTCCAGGGTTTCCATATTAATTTCACCTTCACTCTCTCCCTAATTATATCAAATAACCAAAAGATTGATGCAAAGGCAAACTTTGAAACGAGGGTGCCATGCCATCTTGGCAACAGTGAAAGAATACATGACTGTAGAAAAAGACTCTTCTACAGTTTTTTTCAACTTTTGAAATAGACAAGTTAGGGAAAATCCGTCGATACAACTGGAAAGAGCACCTTAAATAATAGTAAAATTACAAAGTTTGAAAGTGATTTGTTGAAAACTAACAAAGATGTCACTCCTCAAAGTCACCAAATTTTACAGATGTTTGTATGGTGGGGGGTAAATGTCATACAAACATCTGAAAGATGTATCACTTTCAAATTTGGCAATTTTATTAATATTAAGGCGCTCTTTCCTGTGGTGTTGACAGATTTCCCAACTTGTCTATGTCAATAGTTGAAAAAACCGTGAAAGGGTCTATTCTTGTTGCATACAGAAAAAAGTTCCTCGGTTCTCCACGAGTGCCTGTTACACTGGCTTTTTCTGTTTTTTTTGGCATCTCTGAATTTTATTTTGGCCTTACAAATTAAGAAACTATAGTCTCAAAATTGAGCATAAATTGACAGAAGGCTTGAAGAGGGGGTATGTGCACCTATGATGTTCCAATAGTTAGCATGGGGAATCCCACTTAATAATTTCATTTCTGCAGTTTTAATGTAATGAGTTTCACGTAGGGAGCGTTTAACAAAAATCTTACAGCCGATTTAGACGGTAAGATTTTATTTACAACTATCGTGTGCGACTAGCATATGTCATGACTTTCAACCATCCACACCTGCACCATTTTCACATACAACATCCACAATGTGTCGTACGACTGTCGGGGGTCTAATTTACGTGACATGATCTGTCCACATGTGCAAGTCATGATGCATGCTACATGTAGTCTCGTACATATAGTCGTAAGCAAAAATCGTACTATCTAAATCGTCCTTTACAGTAGCTCCCATTTCGGAAGAATGACCTTTTATTTTAGAGACTGAATTGACCCATGGTCTATACAGACCGACTTCAATGTATGTTCTGCGTTTATGACCACCCCTGATGTGTGCATGAAAAGCTCACTGTTTATAGTGATGAAACTTGAAAATCAGATCTTTTGAACGGCGCTTTATCTCACAGGGATCTAGGCATTTGCTTCGCTTAGTGCATACGGATTATGTATCAAGCACTGCGATACTGTCAGATTATACAAAACTAAAGAAATTTAAGTTCACCTTACCAATCCCTCTCGTTTCCGCCAGCTCCATGATCGCCGTGCTTCTGACACCGCAGAAAAATCATTTGGATAACGTGACTTTTTTCCTTCTTCAGACATTTTCTATGCGACTTCTAATGAATGAGTGGTTGTTAACAGAATTCAGCTGACAATTTCATGACATCTCTTTAAAAAAGCTTCAGTTTCAGTCTTGATATTATTAAACGATTCACATATGGCATCAAATTCTTGCCTGGAAGAAAAATATAGCAGGTTCTCCGATCAAAGGGCTCATTTTGCCCGAATTCCTCGTCTCTTTAGAGAAAAAATGGTGCATTTAGACCAACTTTCACCACCTGGGGTCGCCATGTTGAAGTCCCCGCCAAACAAACTCGTCCCAGACTGCCAGAGTTCTGGCGCGGACAAACAGGACACGAGGAGCTCGGTAATAAATCCGTGTTCTCCTACACGAATACAAAAAATCCGCATAAAATATCTTTATGTAACATGTAACTATGTGTCACTCAACATAACTATGCATCACTACCCATCAGCACCTATCACTGTCCAGGGCTCGAACTTAACTTTTGAACTTAATAGTCAAATGGCTAGTATATGCTTGGCCTTTACTAGCCATAAACGTGTTTCTACTAGTCTAGGCACTTCTGTACAGCATAAAATTAAAAAAAAAAATGTCAAAAATCATTGTGTTATCAAACGTTAATAAAAACTGCATATCCACGACAATCACTCGTGGACTGTGATCGTAGATTTGCATTTCAAAATGGCGGACATTTGTTTTTTGGCTAGCTTTGCATCATGGGCACGGCTTGGCCCATGCTCCCTAGTCGTTCAAAATTTCAAGATGGCAGCGAATAAGCGCAAAACTGAAAACCGAATTAACAAATATTATTCTTATGTAGAATTACTTTTCTTTCTTTTATTCATGCCAGTTGTTAATGGGGGAATGAAATAAGAGGTTACTAGAAGGTGCGGATCAACTGGGAAAATGTTGAAAACATTTCAAGGCTTATGTTGTTTACAGGGGCGAAAATTAACTAGCCAAAATGGCTAGTAAATGAGCTAAATCCACTATCCAAAAATCAAAATCTACTGGTATTTGGCTAGTAGACCACCGCCAAGTTCGAGCCCTGGACTGTCCATCACTACACATCACTACATACTACTACAGATCACTACCCATCACTACCCATCACTACACATCACTACCCATCATTACACATCACCATCCATCACTACATATCACTACATATCACTACACATCACTACATATCACTACATATCACTACAGATCACTACATATTACTACAGATCACTACTTTTATTTATGCAAGAAATCACAGTCAGTTTTATGATTTATTATAAAGTGACGAAACAATACAAATGCACTACAAAAACGAGAAAATAAAAAACAAGCAATGTATTAAGAACACTCGTTCCAGCATTAAACAACAGCTGCAGAAAAAATTTTCTCAAGATTGGTTTAAAGCTCAAAACGCCATTTCGGATAGCTCAAGACAAACATATACGCACTTAGTCCCCAGGGCTCTCCCCCCTTGGGCGGAGCACTTAGTCCCCAGGGCTCTCCCCCCTTGGGCGGAGCACTTAGTCCCCAGGGCTCTCCCCCCTTGGGCGGAGCACTTAGTCCCCAG